ACACTTATGTATAGAAATACATTTCAGCGTACAACTTAATATATTAAAACAGAAGTTGATCTCTCCAGTTATACAACGGATTAGCTAATTTAGCCTTTTAGGTATGCAATGCCTCTTTTCATCATCAAGTACTAGATTTAGGATGTGAAAATGCAATCGCTCACATTTTCTTATCTTACTGACCTATATTCACTTCTGGCTCTCCAGTATCTCTTTGAACCTTCTGGAAACATATTTCTGTCTACTCTTACAACTATTTTGTTATGGTATGTTGTTGCTGTGTGAAGATTATGCCTTAATAAAACATATACCTCGCTCAGAATTGATACTACTTTGCTAAAGAAGAAGTGTTTATGAACAACAAAGTCCAGAGTGCAAAGAAAAAGACAATAATCGTTCCTTTTGTGAAGTAAACAGATACGATATTCTAGTGTAAGTCAGAAGTGCTGTGTTTATTTTATAATAACAAAACTCACCAGATATGAGTTTTCACTTGATTGGGTACATTGGCTGTTGTGAAATATGAAGACTGTCTTGAGTCAGTCAGTCTAACTATATCATCAAAAGTAGACACATCCTACAGTAAGACTGCAGGATTTTGTGACGGACTTTACCTTCATCAGACTGTGCACATGCTAATCATTTCCCCCCTCTTTTTTACTTTCATTGTCACTGTTCTTAATAATCTCCCACTCTCTCTGTTCACTGTGTTCTTTCTCCCTTTCAGTGACTGACAGCTGCTGCTGAGACTTGATCCACCCTCCTCAGTCCCTCTTGCTCTGTAATTAAAGGAATTATACATCAAGAGTCCTGTGAAATATGTATAAAAAAAAGACGGGGAATGAGCTTTGCTTAATTGCAAAGACAAGAGGATGGAAGTGATCACAGCCCAGTAGGATGCTTTTACGCACAGCTTGACACTATGGGAGGTGAAAAAAAAAAGTCTCAAGCAACTGGTGTGTGACTGGAGTAAAACAGTGTCTTATTAGATAGTTTTTCCTCGTACATATGAGGTAGCTGCACTGGACAAAAAAACAGAAGTTTAATTTGGCAAAAACTTTTTGTATATTTATGAGAGATTTTCCTGTCAAATTAAAGAATAATTGCTGTTTACCTTCATTTTTCAAAGTCTAGAGTGTGGACAAACCAGATATGCAAAATCTTTCTTCAGTGTTTTGGTATCTGAAGTGCCTTCAAATTTTTACACTGGTACCTGAGACAACACACTTACTTCAACGTGCCTGTTCTTAACTTTGAGACATTTTCAGCGTAAATGCATTTTCGGGCATAAAGACCTGTTTTTAGAGAGCTTTAGAAAAAAACCTGATGGTCATGGCTGAGTTGAGTGTGTGACTGTTACTAAAGGTTTTTCTTAACCACAAGACCATGAAATCTACCTGTTTGTGCAGAAAAGCTTTGACTGTGAGTTTATAAGAACACTGCAATTTTAAGCTTTTTAAAGCAACTCAAAAGCACCGTTGTGATTTCACTGAAAGTAATCATTTGAAACCTTCGGAAACATGATTGGAGTTATGAATATATGATGAGCGTTGGCAATTCAAACTGAGGTCAGTCATAAGATGTCCCTTGATTGGAGCTTGTAATCAGATGACAGATCACAAAGTTTGAATAATGGCATGATCAGTGGCTGACTATATTAATCTGTGTCTAGAGCTAGGTGTTATTAACATTTTTGTAAAGTTAGGACAAAGTCTTGAGCAGTCAGTATAACATCCTCTGAAGTGACTCATGTGATGTGTACGTGTGTCTAGGCATTGTATTTTTTATTATGTTGAACATACAAGATGTGATCCAATAAACCCCTAAAAAAATACACGTATACACAGATACTCATGCACACAACACACACTCTACAACTCTCTTTTCATCCTACCTTGGATCTTTTTGAATAGAGTCAATAGAAGGTGAACGCTGCAGGCTGCCTTCGGGCGGCAGAGCTGGTCCTGACTTGCTGTAGGGTGATTCCACCACTGAAGGGCAGTACTGCAGGGTACGGTAGGGGTCAGCCACATAGGGATCTGAACCATATACATCTCCGCTACCGCCACTCGAGGTGTAGCCTGGCCCCACTGTGGCATAGTTGTTGGTCCCGCCGCGGTTGTAGTTTCCTGTTCCTGTGCCGTGACTTCCAGTGCGCTGCAAAGGGGCGGAGTCGACACCAGGGGAGGAGGGTGCTATGGCAGGAAAGTAGGGACAGAGGACATAACTTAGGTCACGGACCTGATCATGGATACGCATGGTCAGGTCTACAGAGGAGAGCGAATGAGGGAAGAGGAGGAGAGAAGGGCAAGGACACGAGCACAGGAGAGGAAGGACAGAAAAGCAAAGACAGCGATGAACAGTCATTTGGAAAAAAACTCCATATAGGTAAAAAAAAACATTGGCCTTATTCCCATGATTAAAAGAGAGAGATTATAACCTAGTAAGATAAAAAGAAACACATGAAATACTATATCATAAATCTATTGACAATTTAACACAATTCTTGATAGCTGTACAGCAGAAATCACTGTAAATGCCTGTTTTTGTCAAAGCCCGTTCAATCCTACAGTGCCAACAGCACATTAAAAAATGGTTGTGGAGTAGTTCTGCCCCCATGTTTAAGACAGTGGCAAGGAAAAAAATACTTTTGACAATGAGAGACTACAATCATTGTTAGAGTTGTCACTGAAATGACACACTACTCCATCAGTCTGCAATAAAATATGTAAACTTTGCTCTAGTTCATACGAGGGAAGGGATGAGTCCACACATTTTGAGAGATCATGGTGAGGTCACCCTGGTGATCAAAAAGGACTAAAAACATACATAAAATGTATAAATAAAACAACAACAAGGCATCTCTCTTTGGAGTGACTTTGAAATTGAATTGGGATTTGCTGGAGGGTGTAAGCAGCCTTCAGGGGCACAGTAGCTGTCTTCCCTCCGTGATGCACTGAAACAGTGGAGTGGTGATATATCAAGGTGTTAATGTGAGTCTGGGGGGCTCGTTTCTTTGGCTGTAAAAACACTGAGACAGACCGTGGAGGGGGGGGGGGGGGGGAATCCATCTTATCCATCATTAGGACAAAGGTATATGCAGACTGAAAACAGCACGTGAAAAACACCATAAACATCTTCTTCAAGGAGTAAGCAATAAATCACAGAGCCTTGTAATCGATATGTGGCCGTATGATTGGCTTAGGCTTTAACATAGGCCAATGAACCTCCAATCACAAACAGAATTAGCCTTTAAAACCTGCCTGGATGAGGCAGACTAAAACTCCCCATATAAGCAAATAGAATCCTATGCATTTCATATAAACAGATGACAAGGAGCTTTTACCAGCCAGAGCACAAATTAACAAAAGACTGGAGGTTGTGTGGAAGTGAGAGTGTGCTGAGGCTGAGTGTCTTATCGTTACGTGACCAACAAACCTGCTCTTTAGCACTGTCTCGAGTGCTGGCATTTACCTGACCTTCACAACCCTCTTATCACTCTCTTTTTCACCTCCATCTCTCTCTCGCACACTCACACAAACACACACCCATGCATCTGATCTGCCCAACCTATTTTGTACACAAGGCTGACGAAACCAGTCCTTTAACAATCCTATTCCATATTCTTGAACTGAACTTCTTCAAACAATTCTGGAGAACTCTATGAGCGGCACAAGAAACCTTAGGGATGACGTAATCACTTTAGCATATTTTTTATCTCCTGGGTGACACAGACACAGACATGCATGAGCATTTAAGTACAGACAAGTTTGTGTTTGGATGCCTGCACTCTTTAAAATGAATGTGCATGTAAGGAGCACTCCCGTGATCATCATCATTTAAAAATGAGAGAAAACAGAAGAAGGACTTTGGTTTGACTTTCCAGCTTTTTTTGTTTTTTGACTTAATATCGTTTCAGCTGCTCAGCTTGGATTTGTCAACTTCTGGTTACCACTCGTACTTTTTTTTTTGTATTTAGGCCACATAGCATGCATTATGGAGAATGGACAGCACCACCTTAACGAGTGCACACTGACTAAATCCTTTGCCCGCCCCAGCAGCAATTTTGTCAGTTACTGGCAATCCAACTAGGGAAGACAGGGCGATTGGATCACAATCCTAGTGCGCACTGATGCCCCAAATTTGACAATCCAAAGAATTAGGCAGGAAAACAGTGGATGAGTCCAGGGGAAAGAAAAGGCTGCAGCTGAGAAAGCCACGTTTTAGAGAACAAAGTCAGTCAATACAGGAAAAAGAAAAGAAATGCGAGGCAATGGAGGGAGCACATACAACAGAGGGTATAGGAGGGTAATGAAGCAGCATTATTCCCATCAGAAGCAAATCCCAGACTTTTCTGTACTCTTAAAATTGTGTCTGCGGTGTGTCTGTCTTTCTGTCTCATTAGTGCCCGGGTTTTAGACTAACACCACCAGTGTCAGTGTGCACTCACCGAGAGACTTGACAACCAGACAGGACAAACCTCAGAGCAAAAGAGGGGGTGGAAGAACAGTGAAAAGAAGGGAAAAATGTCATGTCAAATTATTTTTATAGCCTGTGCTGTGACCACTAAAAAGGAGTGTCCTTGGTTATAAGCTAAAAAAGTAAAGGAAAAAGGAACAAAATCAAGAATGATAGAGAGATGGTTGAGAACAAAGAACAGAAAGAATCCTCCCAAAATGTGCTGCCAAATCACTGTTTTAGCTGCTCCTTTTGTTTTCATACTCTGTTACAGTACTTTGTATTCTGCTTCCCCATGCCTCTTTATGCAATTCATTTTCCTACTCACACAATCTTTCCTTCTACACTCTGCGGTCTCTTCTTAAACTACTCTAAATGGTATGCTACTGAATTTATGATTTGCTCAGTTAATGGTGTGGTCTGAGTGATGGATTGACCTCTGGGGCCAATACTGCCTGCCAAATCAGGATGTGGGTGCCTGATTTATGCATGTGTATTTTGTATTTGTACACCTGTGTTTCTTCTCGTGTTCCTTACTTTTGAGAGCAAATTGGGACTTTAGACTGTTGAAGTAATTGCATTTTTGACCAAAAAATTAAGTCATTCGGGACCTGAAAGTAAGAATAAGATCTGTTGAGGTTAGATTTAAGCATATAATTGAGTGTTAACGTTTATATATGGAATAAACACACAGTGTGAAAGGATGTGTCTATCATGAGTTTGCTGAAGACCAGCAGAACGCAACTTACAGGGGTGTTTCATGAAATATTAAACAAATCACGAAACATGTGGTGTTGTGTATACCAGATACACACACACGTGCACTTTCCACTAACACGTCTCACACCTAACGCTCTGGCAGCGTGAAATTGTGTTTGAGAGGAAATAAAAAGGAGGGTGTGTCTTTGTATTCCCTTGCATCTGCAAAGAGTAAACAAATTGCGGCTGTGCTCCTGCTGGCAGATTAGCGACGGAAAGGGAAACTCTATTAGTCATTTGACACAGTGATACCTCTGCAATTAGCCAGTCGGCTGAGGGGCCGCCTCGCTTGATTTTATTTTCTTGGGCTGCTGCAACTAGGAAAACCTGTCTGAATGCACAAGAGATGGAGGAAAGGGGAAGGGGGAGAGGGAAAAACTAGGGGATAAAACCAGTACTTTAAGCTTTCCATATCCATCTAAACTTCTTATTCTTTCATCTCTGCTTCAGTGTCTTTCAACTGTACTCTGGTCACTATCGTGTTTCCTGCATCAATTCCTTGCCCTTTTCTCTTTCTTTGCTTTTTCCGAATTCTCCAGCCCTATCACTCTCTGCCTTTACCTCCATCCCTCTTTTAGCTCGTGGATTTCTTCTGAAACCTCCCTTTTGATTTACCAACCTCTCCCTTTTACCGTAGCTTACTCCTTCTCTCATTCCATTTTTGTCAGTCGTCCTCTCCTCATCATCGTTTCATTTGATGCTTTGTGTTCCTCTTCTTCCCTAACAAGCGTCTGTCTTTCTCTTTCCTTCCCTCCCTTCACTGTCGTTCTAGTAGACTATGTGATCAGAGCTGAGGACATGTCCTTTCTCTCGACACGCTTCACTGCTCAGCACGATTACACAAAGCCCCATCAGTACAGTCTCTATCTCTCTCACATACACACGCTCACACAGACATCGCCGTCATCACACACACATGGATTACTAAATGTGCCAGTGATTGACTTAGACTGAACATGCATGCCTGTAACGCATCTTTTTCTAATGCTTTAAGGTCATTTACCAACATGCGCACGCAACCTTGGCTTCAGCAGCCATGGAAGAAGCACATTTCCGAAGATAAATACACACACACACTCACACGGACACAAACACGCACCCTGCTTGGATGTGAAGGAGAGTAAGGATTAGTTTCTCCTTCTGTTTATCCCTAGGAGAGCCTCCTGGCCAACACACAGCTCTTGATGTTCCTGAGCTCCTAAACACTGGAAGACCGACACCCCCCTACCCCTACACACACACGCTCACAAGTGCTCTCCCTTGCACTTTCAGTATCAAGTATACAGCTTTTTATAGTGTTGAAGCTGTAGGATACTTGTTTCCATGACTAAAGGTGCCATGTCTTTCAGGAATCATGCTGGCTGGAAACAGCAGGACTCCAGGATGTTGCTAATTGTTCGTGCTGTGGATGTACAACGGCTAAAATGATAAAATAAGAGAATATTTTGTTTGTATTTATAGGTGATATACACCACTATACATGACACCCTTATAATCATAGTTGCAGAGGTTTGTAATTTCTTGTAACTGCCATAAGAACTCAAATCTGCTCTGATGATAAACGAGTAGCTACTATAAAATAGCATAAGGCCACGGGCTGGTTTTGTTCTTGTTTCCTGAATCTTTTGAGTCATGAGTAATTTTTCAGTCACCTTTCCTTCATGCTTTGGCATCAGCAACTGCTGTGCTTTTAGCCTGTCCTATGGACCTATTCTAACATCACACATGTTTGTTAAAGATTGCAAATTATTTTGATAATGAGAAAAATCTGACCTCTAGACCTCTGTGTGTCTACAATAACTCATGTTCATGGACAAAAATTATAAAGGAAAAACTGTTGACTAATTGATTTGATGACCACCATAGCTGAGGGTACTAGGATGAGGTGGAAGTGACAAAGTTAAAGATGGTAAGGTTTTCAATGGGAGTGACCAAGAGGGACAGGATTAGAAATGAGTCCACCCTTTGACAAAGGTTGTTAAAGGTGGAACTACCAGGCAGGAGGAAAAGAGGAAGACATGGAGGAAGTGAAGGCGAACGGAGAGTTGAG